GCTGGATGCCAAGGAACTTGATATGGAACAACCCCAGGAAGGATGAATATCCTAGAGTAAGGACTTACACTCAGAAAGTAAAGGACACAATACTGCAGGCACACAATACAATCCTTCAGGCAAGGGTAAAGCAAACTAAACATGCTAATAGACACAGACAACCCTCTTCCTTCAAATTAAATGATCTAGTGTATGTTTCTACAAAGAACATGAATCTACTAAGACAGTGAGTAAGGAAACTAGTACCAAAGTACATAGGACCTTACAGAATAAACCAGAATGCAGGAAACAAGGCATTTGAACTAGATCTACCTAGGGAAATGAGGAATCATAACATACACCCTGTATTTCATTCATCACTACTTAGGATACATGTTCCAAACAATGATAGATTATTCCCTGGAAGGGAAGTAGGACAAGTTACTGGATTAAACAATGAGAACAAGGAATGGACAGTAGATTCGATTGAAACTCATGCAGGACAAGGGACTACCACTTTGTTCAAAGTACTATGGAAGTCCAGAGATCACACATGGCTACTCTATAATAAAATTGTGTACCTTGAGGCATTGAAGGAATACTTAGACATACTTAGAATTGATTCTATCAATACACTAACTCTAGGAAAGGGAAAACTCAATACTAATGACCCTCAGGTTAGTATCAGTCTAGTAAAACATGAGGCAACCTTTCAAACACAATGCTACAGCATGGACATACAGGTAGACATACACAAAGGCTTTAAAAACTGCACATATAGTCACTTTACTATACATATCATGTCTACTACTCAAGAATCTGTTGCTCATACGTTTGCATCTGCTTTTCTACAAAGCACAAATATGCCTCATCCTCCTCTACAACTCTTAGTTGGCCCTCAAGCACAACCAATCACACAGGATTGGGTTACTCACAACCACAGTACAAGTACTGACTATGTTTTCGATTGAGAGGAGCTCAAGGAGATTGTAGCTTTCTCCAGGGCTATCCACAACAATTCCCTCAACCCTACTATGCAACTCCCAGAGTGTTATCTCATTGTATTATGCTTGTATAACTTCCATGTTCCTTCTTATACAAGACTGAGCCCACTACCACTGTTCCAAGACTGTATTCAACATGCTAAGATGATGCAAGTGTCCCAGGACTTTATATACTGTAAGAACATGGCTTCAAACCAAGGTAAATGCACATATATTCTGCATTATATTATTACAAGCACATATACCTTACTGTTTTACTTAGGTGCAAAGTGTAGAGCTGAGCAAATCAACAATGGAACTACTATATTCTACTCACACAACTGTAAATGCCCTCGGATCAATTCACAATTGCCCTCAACATCCACCAATCTTACTTTAGTACTCAATATGAGTGCTCTGAGCTCATTCAACACTCAAGGCATTACTCTACTGCTGAATCTGCTGCTTTCTACTCAATCTGATGGCCATTCCAACCAATCTGCTGTGAGTTCCACCAGTTCCACTGCAGAACACGTTCAAGCCAGACAGGAGCATGTCCAGTCCACTACAGGACCAATCAAAGACACATCCATGGCTGTGGAGAACGTCCTAGCACAGCAGTACTGAACTTTGTAGTAAGTTACTAACGTTTTCTTTTGTTTTTGTGTTGTTATTTTGTTTATTCCAGTACTAACTCCCTTAGCATTTAGGACTAAATGCTGGAGGGCAAGTGTAACGATTGTGCTACCTGTGCATTTGCACAACATGTGTTGTAGGTGCTTGTGGGTGTTTTCCTTTTTGTTCACTAGACTACCCTGTATCCTACTACACGTGTATACACATATATAAAGGGTTTTTGAGCTAAGGGTTAGGGGATTCTTTCTCCTTCTCGGCGCTCGATTACTAGGTTATCCCAGTCAGTAGTTGAGTGTGCTGGTAAAGAGAGAATCTTCGCGTAAGGCTAGTATACCTATCCTTACATCCATGAACTCGGATATCAGCGTTGGGAAGTCATTTTCCTCCAGAATGTAGCTAAGAAGTGGAAGTATATTAGGGTGATCAAGACTTGACCAGACGCGGACTTCTCTCGAAATTAACTTGTAAGGCGAGAAAGTAAGAGTTAAGTATCATCCGGTAATGACCAGGATACCTTCATAATCCCTGGGGTCTGCCCATGGAAAACGCGGAGACATTTTACCGCCACCTTAAGTTTGCCACGGTCAGGATCATCATAAGTTCCAATACGAATATCCCCATAGCTTCCACCAGAGAAGGGATGAGCGCTTTTGTCGTACGACAGACGGCTTGCGACGTTGAGGTGTTTGACGCGTGCTAGCGTTAAATCTGAGTGGTTCGCATCTCTAAATTTTTCCATGATTCCGTGTCATAGATCGACTGAGTACGTCCTAGAGCTCAAGTTGTAGCGAGAGGTTGAAGACATTTTCGACTTGCATCGTGATTGATGGACCTGATGCAGTTTGGCATACATATGTGGGGGTCCGCTTTTTGGTTATGAGACGCGGTCGAGCGGACTTTGAAAATTTCCCTTTTTCAGTCGAAATGTGGTGAACAGAGTGTCCGCCCTCCTTGTATTTAATGTAGAAAATACAACGGAGCAAATCTAGACTAAAATCTTGTATATTTCACTAGTTTAGATACTATTTACTATTATGTATGCCTTTTTTAAAAAAAAATATCAAATTTGTGTGAAAACAGACAGATTCAAGTGCATATATATAGTGTGTTGCATACATATCTTACTACACTCATAATTAATTAAATAGAGAGGATTTGAAGATTTAAAATTGATATTATATAGATGTTTTCTTGTGCGAATATGAATATGTAGTTTGTTTTTTGTTATATTGAACGAGTGAGTTAATTTATACATTACGATTCTTGTATCTACCAAGTGCATCTAGTAATACCTTAAGCCTCTCATCCTTTCTCCCTATGTCTTTCTCCTTCGGAATATCTCTGTCGAACCTTTGTAATTTGTCAAGTTGTTCCTTTAGCTAAGGCACCTTAAGCTGTCACACTCAATCTTCGTCCAATTCGAGTGTTAATTCTTCAAAATACTCTGACTGTCTGCTTTGCTTGTCCTTCTGCTCCTGGATCCTCTGCTACTTTGCTGTAACTTCTGCTTTGTACTGCTCAGAAATGTCGACTCTTCATTTTTTATCTTGTTTCCCAAGAAGTCTATCCTGTGCAACCTGGCAAAGATAAGCTTGTTCTTTGTCTCCAGCAAGCTTAGCTTTAATGAAGTCCTTAGTATTGTTCTGTGAGTATTTTGCCTTTGTATTGAAAGTCTCAGTGTTCATTGATGGATGATTTCTGGCAGATATTCTGTACACCCCTAGAGCCCCTTTATTTGCATTGTTAGTTGCTGGCATCCAGGCTTTTGCTTTTTCTTCTTTGGTGAGCTGACTGATCTCTCTGTTTTCACTATATTCCTCACTAAATCTCTCCCAAGTTGTTAGAGACACTTCCAAGAATGCCACAAAAGCATTGTAAAGATGGGAGAGATGCTCTGCCATTACTCATACTGCCTTCATTGTGTCTGGCCTCTTCCACTCAACAGATGACAGTATGTTGACATCCACTAGTCCATCAAGGAGCTCATGACCTGAGACAATTTTAATGTTGTGTTACTGTTGCTTAGCCTTGTCTGTAAGAAATATTGTCTCTAGAGGATTCAAGTCTGAGTTCAGGATTAGCCCAGGTAAGTTAATAAGTTTTTTGATGTGAGACTTCAGTTTTGTAAGAAGCAGACTGTATTCCATCACATTTATATCCTCTAATCCAGACTTACAAAGCTCCTGAATGTATGGATACAACACACTTTCCAGGTATAAGGCAAATACAGCCAGCTCAGTATGTGTAGGTAAGTCATTTAATCCCTTTAGAATATTCAACTTGAGATGATTGAGGCCAGGTTTTTCTTTTGAATTGTGAATAAAGTGTATATAGTTAATATAGAAATTGAGTCAAGAGATAACCTCTGCTGCCACCTTAAGATTCAACAAATATCACATATTTGAAGTATCAGGGAACATAAAAATACAGTTCTCCTTCTACAATACATAGCTCTGGAAGGTATCATACTGTCCCTTTTTATTGTCTTTGTGATTTAATAGTACACTCATTAGAGAGACAAGTTTTACTACACCACTAGTTGATACCTTGACTGCTTGATTTACTACTGGATCTTCTGTGTCACTATCTACCAATTGGTAAGCTGTATCATTTTCTTTATTCATAAGCTGAACAGGCCTGAATCTCATTATCTCCCACATTTTCTTCAAGCCTGTAGATCCCCCTTTTGATACATTCAAATCTTTATACATACTGTATCCTACACAAACCCAGAGATTGCAAGTTATACCATCCTCCTCTGAAAGATTTAGGTATGTCTCACCACCTAGCTTATACAAAATTGTGTCCTTACACTCAATTTTGTGCTCCTCTTTCTTCTTCTCTGTAAGAGCCTCTCAGACCTTCTCTCTGCTGAGCTCCTCAATTTTTTCCTTCAAGGCTTTAGCAAGAATGTCTTTGTGTTCTTTCTCAGGTAAGTTATAAAATGTTCTTTCTCCTAAGGCAAGTCCTACTCTTTCTTTTTTCCACTTGCTGAGCTGACAATGTTTTGCTTTCTAGTCTTCTACATGGTCCCTGTGCATACCAACTAGTTTCAACACAAAAATTTTTTTGTTAAGACATTCCTTCAGGATGTCTCCATTCTTAGCAAGCAGAGAATCTTAATATACAGTAAGCACTTCTTTTATTACTGTTAAGTCTCTGTTTTTTTGCATTTTGGCTCAATGATTTGCTGACATCCTTACACCTACTAGACAAACTTTCTGCTCAAGGGTAGAAGAAGTTTCATCACTGTACAATTGTAGGGCTTTCAAATTAATGTGTAGAGCCTTGAAGTTTTGATTTCAGTGAGTAGTACTGTCAGAACCTATTGTACAAGCTATTAAAGTAGGTATATGTACTCAATTTCAGTATCCCAAATATGAATCATACATTCAATTACCTGGTGATACACTTATTTCATAACCTAACTGTATATCAGCTGTTATACTGCCTTCTTCAACAATCTGAGAGACTGTTTGCTTGTACATAGGTCCTCTGGATTTTGCTTGGGAAGACTGGACTAGAGAGAAAAAAAGCTGTATAAAGGTATGTATTACTTTTCTGATCTTTGTCATTAGACACCTATAGCTAACAAGTTCACACACAAGTGTACAAACTTTTGGGGTATACTAGCCCTTTTCTACAAGGTTCAAGGTGTGTTTCATTTTGTTTTTGAATTTTTCATTTTCTTTAATCTTTACTAGGGCCTGCTGAAGATGTTTCTGATACACATTATACTACTTATGAATTATTACAACCTTGGTACATAGCTTTTCTTTGCTTGAGTGTAATGTATCCAAAATTGACAATTGCATGTCCAGGGATGGTTACATTCTCTCTAGACAGGAGTATGCTACCTGAAGTTTGTCTTACACTTGTAAAAGAGTAGTTTTGCACATTTCAGCCCTAGAATTTGTAGCAAGGAGCTCCTTACTTGTGAGTACCAGCCTATTATCCCTTTCTCTCAGTTTCTGACCTAATCTTACTAAAGAATTCTTCAAACAGTGAAGGGATTGTGTGCATGTCTTCAAACAAGCCTTTAGACAACTACAATGTTCTATAGTATGCTCCAAGTCCAGACAATTCAATTCCAGTAATACTAGTAGGTCCTGCTTCTCTTTAAGTTTGATGCACAGTTTTCTGACCACTTTTGTAAGAGTACTGGAACTATCTCTGCTTTTGGTGACATGCTTGTAGAGGTTACTGATCACCTGTAAATAATTGTAGGTGAGTTTTTCTTAACACTCAAGTAGTTTTGTTGTGTGTTCTAAGCTCTTTCTTGTGTCTTCCAACTCTTTTCATTGTGGCTGAACAGGCTGCAGACCTTGTTCTACATGATTCTGGTACAGGAGGAGGTAGAGGGCCTAAAGTATTGAGGCAAAGGTGATTTCTTACTCTGTTTAATTGTTTTTTGTGTGATCTTGAAGCTACCATGGCTATTATTCAGTAGTTAGTTTCATGTAGTTTATTTTAGTTATTTTTTTGAGAATTACCAGTGGGCGTACAAATTAAAATTGCAAATTCTGTCATTTTAATCCTTCAGGCTACATTGAAATCTGCTGTGTCTAGACGTGTGAGACTGTATGCCCTTAGGTAAATCTTCTGCTTCTACTTCCCACAGATCCAATCAAGGTTAACGCTTCTAAAGTTGATCATAATTCATGTAAATCTATTCTAAGAAGAATTACAGAAGGAAATTAGCTATAAAAAATTATTCACAAAGATATTAGTAGTTTTGTGTGTAATTTTAATGTTTCTTGCTCAATTTTTAATAAATTTTAATTTCCCTCTGTAAAAAGTTTCTTTACTATCTTGAAATTATTATTATTATTATTTTACTATTTTAAATTACATGTGGAGAGTGGAAAACGCTCTCGCAGCAAGGTATCTAGAGGCCGGACACACTGCACGCTGACCTAATTGATGGATCACTTACTTTGAAACCGTGGGAACGACCGCGTCGTACAACCGAAAAGCGGACCCCCACATACAAACTTCCACCACTTTGCAGTGCTAGAAATAGGCCAAATTTAGCCGAGGTGATAATGACATAAGCAGAGTCTCTTGTTAGTATTAAAATTAGTATTTCTACTTCGTCGTGAGTCGAGTGGGAAGGAATGATCGTTCTCTCGACAGCAACGAACAAACGGAACGAGAATGGTAAAATGAAATTGATTTACACATCGTGGGATCATCTCGAGAAAAATGTAATGCATTGCAATGTCTGCACAGTAGAATATTCAATACTTTTGGTAATGATATTTATTATTTACTAGAACCAGAGTACATCGCCTCTCTGCATTTTAAGCGCACCAGATCACGTCGATTGCTTTGGCGTGAACGGCGGGCGCGATAAGTTAGCCAGTAACCTCCAGCAGTCGGCATCTTCTTGCCAGTGCAAACCCAAGGACATAAACTTTAAAAATTGTTCGAAAATAACAATGATTGACCAGAAGGGAATTAGGTACCGGGAAGCGTGCAACACTCAGGGCATGATTGCTCAAATTTCATACTCGCAGCCATCATCCGGACCGGTGATTCCATTTCTTCAAAAGTGCAGAAATCATGACGGGAAATGTTACACGTGACTTGATGCTAAAAAAAGTGAGGTGGCACTGGTATTGTTGTTCCCACTCTCATTGAGTCTCATCTCCATTGACCGCATAGTTATTTAGGTCGTTTATTGGGCGCACTGGACACTCTGCTGCGCATGGGCCCAGGAAATGCCAGCGCCGTTTCCCGGCGACCACAACTTCTCTTGAAGATAGTTTACTAGGTGCCCGATAAAGTCCGGGAGCGAAGAAACAAGGAACGAAGAGTCAAACTTGATCAAACATCAAACATCTATCAACGTATAGGTGGTCATCTGCTTGCGCTTTTCTTACAGGTGGCGCTCGTCTCAATGCTGGTACCTTGGTCATGGTGACAGCAGCGCATTTGAAAATACCTTGGCACTCCATGCACCGCGGTCTTTCTCGCCTCGGGTCCAGCCCCTTTGTGTTCGTCTGTTCATCCACTCGACCACTGGGCTCTCCGAAAGCGCGACGGAGATCCATGCTTGTATACTTAATATACACTTTGGACACATATGTCCGCAATCTAGCCAATGGGAGCCCTCGATAAGCATCCGTTGAAAGACGTATGATACGCAGATACGCGGTCGGGAGAAGCTAGTGACGACTCCGATGAGTGGACGAAAAGAGAAGAAGGCACGCTTATCATTTCTCGTGCTCCCATGGTCTCGCGAAGAAAGTGAGGCTCCCACTCGGTCCTAGGAATACTCAGGCGGAGAAGATTGAGCGTTGCCTAGGCCGTTCTTAGGTTTACTTCCCACCATCTATCGAGCTGTCCATATGCAATTCTACTGTTTCTTACCATCAGAGTCTCTTGAGTCTGTCGTACTTATGGAGGCCGGGAATACTATCAAGAGGCTCCCCTCCTGTTGCTTGGTTTCTCCTACCGTAACTGACGTTGCTGGAGTACTTCTGTTGCTCATCTCGCGACATCTGCGTCGTGTCCCTCTCTTGAGCTCTTTCACCGACTACTTTTCTCCTTTACGATTCCAGGTTCACGAGAATTCACACCATCAATTGGAGGGATAGCCACCGTCACCCCGTCTGGGTGAATATCGTCGATGACTTCCTTGGCGCAAGGCGACTTCCATCTAACCACAAGCCCCACGGCGAAGGAAAAGCGTCGGGTGAGTTCATCGTTTCCTTGTCGTCTTTTGCTTCCGTTTCATCCTATACTTTGAACTATCATTATGATGGAGTCGCACAGCGCCGATGTCCGTACTTGGTCTTTATTTTTCTTCTTCTATTCGTTCCAAAACTATAGTTCTTCTCGGCATAGAATTCCGATCTTTGCCATCACCTTCCATCATCAGACTCTCCCCGTCTAATGCCATATCTTGTTCTACAACATTACTGCGATTTTCTTTTCCCCTTCTCTCATCCTTTCTTCGCATACCGCACTCGCGTTGGGCGGCAAATTCCGTTATGCAGCGCCCAAGCCCGACTAAAAGTCAGTCCTCCGGGTGTATATTAGTCTGCAACCGCACCCTGTTACCCCTGGCTCTGCATCACCATGACCACAATATTGTGACTAAACTGCGCTTCTCGTCTTTTCATCTGATTGCTCTTCTCCACACGGGCGTGCGAGGCTTACCAGTAGCTTTCAATATAAGCTTTGTGCGAAGCTCGGTCTTCACTTATTTTTAAAGTTTACCCGTTTTCGATTTTCCTTATCTTTTATTATATTTCCCGTATCGCCGCTCGCCCTCCTTACGCGTTTCTCTCTCCTTGAACGTGTTCGACGCCCATCGTCCTAACACACTTTGTCGAAATGGAGCGTTTAACTGACGAAGAACTTAATTGCGACAACGCACAGGTGCCATCGTCCGGAAGGGGCGGATTAGGCAATATTCGCGCGAAAAATAAAGCCAAGAACGCGTCCTCACTCACAATAAGCCCGTCGTCCAAGTCACGAACGTCTTCATCGACCTCAGGTTCAGGTCCAACATCTCCGTCGCCTTTCAGAATTCGGTCAAACTCGACGCGCTCAGTTATGTCAAGTGCGGCTTCTGTGATATCAAACTCTAATTCATTATCTGCGTCTCTTTCATCGGGATCTCCAGACGAAGATCGAGTAGAGGTGCAAGGGCGCACATCACTTTTCTCATTTCGTTCACGTTCGTCTGAAATCAATATTGCTGGGCCGAGTGCGGCCTCCAGCTCTACGTCGGGACCCAGTGATTTGCATCACTCCGGCAATTCATATGAACCGAGCTCTCCTACCTTCGGCACATTCGCAACACCGTTATCCTCTCCATCGTCCTCGGGGAGGACGACGTCGGCAGGTTCAACAAGCGCGAGTGCTGATTATGCAATACATTTACAAACCGATGCTCGGCAACGTGCACTTGAAAAGAGACTTGTACGCGAGAGGGCGAAGGAAGCGCGACTTATGGCTGGCAATGGACCTGCTGTCCCAAATGGTTTAAACGGTCCGGCTGATTCCGGAGCTGAAGGTGCGATTGTTAGAGATGCGATTGAGGACAGTGTTCTTCGCGTTCGGACTGGTGGGTTCTGTGCTGCGTACCAGACTGCGACGACGTCATGTAATCTAAATAGTATTATTTATAAGGTCGAGGAGGTGCGGCCGTGTTTAAAAAAGTTGGAAGCGGTATCAATCCTGGTGAGTCCGTGCCAATATCCTTCAGCGTGTTCTTTCTAGCCTATAATGGCGCTTGTTATTGACATATTGGATATTCCGAATAGCCCTGTATCCCCGTGCAGCCGACATAACTCGCGAATATGAAGAACGTTCGGCAGCTCAGGAGCGAAATCTTCTAGCTGAGTCACGTGCACGTGCCGCGAAACAAGGAAGTACTGGTAAGCAGATCATCCATTTCAACGCAAATAATCCACGAAATTTACACTTATTCTACCTAATTCTACCCAGGACGTGGTGGGGCAGGGAACATTGCGGGCCCTTCTTCTGGGGTTAAAGGAGAAGCGAAGAAAGGGAAGAAGGATAAGAAGGGAAAAGGGAAAGCGAGAGCTGATATTGGCGATGGAGGAGGGGACGAAGGACCTCAAGGAGAGAACGTCACAACGCAAGACATTGGTGACGTAGATGATGAAGCAACCCTTGCAGAAAAGCCTAAGGATCGGAAGAAAAAACATGGGCTGCAGAAACTCTGGAAGCGAGTGGTGCGAGCAAACACTGAATCGAATGCTGGTACATTGCATCCGGAAGAATTAGATGATAGGACGCCTCGTCCATCGTTTGGTGACGGAGTCCTTGAGATTGGCCGACTAGCATCTCCATCTGCTTCTCTTTCTTCGACACTCCAGTCTCCTCCTTCAGTTGCTTCCACTTCCTCTTCGCGTACGCAGGGACCTTTAAAATTACGTAAGCACGAAAATGCAAACGGAAAGGAGAGGCAGGAGGGAGCTGCTCTTCTTGCATTCGTGAATGCAGCTATACCTGGGACGCGAAACAACGTACTCGGTGTGCCTGGGACACCTGGATTTCCTCTTCCTAGCGAATGCGAAGAGACTGTCTCGAGCGCTGTCTATAAGTATGGTCCTGATTATCGATCCAGCGGTACATCGTCTTTGACTACGCATGCGAATGGAAGCATTAATAGTAACGCTACTGCTTCGCGCGAAGGCTTTACCATGAAGCCAATTGCAGAGGCGCGCGAAGATGAAGATTGGGTTGACGACGAAACATTGCAAGAACCTTCAGAGGTCTCGGATGAGGAAGAAGAGGATGAAGACTCGGACATTGACCCTCATCTACTAAGCGCACTCAAAAAAGCACAATCACAGTCGTACAAGTACAAGACAACGAGACCGGATAGCCTGGATGCAGTTATCCGGGTTGCCCTTGATAAATTAGATTTAGAGGAACATGACACAGCTGGTGCATTTGGATTCGATCCCAACTTCGACTCCGGGGTCCGAGGTCGAACACCAGCTCACGGCCAAGATCACTTCCTGTCGTCTCGTGCTCCACCCTCATCTTTCAAGCAGCCCGTCCAAGCCCATAGGAGTCCACAGGATTCTCCTCCAACAGCCTTCTCACAACCACCGCGTTATACCCGCGCAAGCGTTCCGGCCGTCCGAACTCGAGTGAACGGCGCCATCGGAACCGGCAATGCTGTAAAATCTAGATCCTCCGTCCCCGACGCCGGGCCGCCTCCCACGAGGCCCGTTCCGAGCTTGCCTGAGTAGGTGCCGTGTAACATCGGAGATTGTCGATACGTACGGCCATCGCTACGCTGACACTAACGTGATGTACGTTCTGAGTCTACTCACCAAGCTTAACCGCCGGGAGTGGCTAGAACGAAGGATCTTCACGGAGTACCGGCTATGTCTTCGCGGTTCCCATTTCTTTCCCACCATCTCATTGTCTCTTTGAGTTCTTCGTGCCTACAGATCCCGGCATTTCTCCTCGCTCCTATTCCTTATTCTCGATCTCTGGGTTTCTCCCTTCTCGTGCTTGTCGCTCTCACACCTTACATTCGGCACGCGTTCTATCAGTGGTCCGTCGCAGGTTTTGTCTGCCCCTCATGTGGACCGCTCTCTCCTTCCACTTCGTTTCTTTTCGACCTCTCATAATGATTATTAGACTTCATACTTGGCCCATGTGTAGTCTCTCGTTTTGTAGACTTCCCGCATTGTCATGCCGCTCGTTCACATTTCCTTCTGTGTCTTTTCAAGGTTTCACACCGTCCTTGACTTCTAAGGTTTCCTTTCGCTTTGGCCCATATCCTTCACCCCTCTCTCTGCGTTCGTTTATTTGTTGCTATCTTAAACCTCTTTATTCCTTCCTGCTCACTTATGTTGTTGTGGATCGCTGTATTGTTACGTCGTTCTTTGCTTTTGTCTGTCTCAGAAACTGTACAAGTAGTATGATTTTTTCTCCTAGCGTTATAAAATCTTATTGTTCACAAATAGACTCGGAAGAGAGTGGAGAACGGTAGATGAAAGGCAGTGTCACACGACTCATACAGACTGGTCCGTTAAAATACGACAAGGTCCGTAATCCGCAAGTACAACATAACCGTCTATTGTACCGCCCATACAACCCATACACACATACACAGACAAGCATACATTTACTCAATCTTCTCCTTCCTCCGCCTCATCCCCGTCTCCATCTCCATCACCTTCATCTTCAGATACTTCAAGCCCAGCCTTCCGTATCGTCTCCTTATCCCGCTTCCGCTTCGTGCTCAGTTCGTCAAGAAGCACGAGCAAGTCTTCTTGCTCCTTTTCTGCATCTGTGCTCTTTTGTTGTGCGACTTCGAGTTGCGCGGTGAGCGAGGTGATTTGGGATTTTAAGTTCGTGATCTGTGAATGTAATGTTGGTTAGGTTGGGACCATGAGACAGTGAGGGGAGAGGAGAGGAGAGGAGAGCGTACCTCTGCTGCTGAAGCCGCAGTGGCAGCGGCAACTTGAGCTTGTAAATCCTATACCGTAAACATAATAAATATTCGTGATTTAAAGTATAAGCTTTTATAAATTTAAACGCACTTCTGTAGGTGTAGGTTTTGCGGACTGAGACTGAGCAGCCTGTAATTGCGATTGTAGCTCCTCGATCTGAGATGCCTGATTTCGGATGACCTCGCGGAGGGATGCGATTAGCATGGCTGACTCTGCGTTCTCGCCTACTTGCCACATATATGAGTTACGCTATAGAATAAAAAAGACTTTTTTGGACGAAGACGTACCAGATTGAGAGCTCAATGTATCCGGGTCAAGAGTGACAGCTCTCTGTATCGTATCTGTTAAAAAATTTAAAATTAGATAAAACCCTCATAAACATAAAAAAGTCAAAAGTCAAAAGACGGATAAGACATACAGTAATTACTCTTCCAAAAATCAACAAACGCCCAATCGAACCAAATCTCCACATCAGGGTCTTCATGCACGTCCGAGCCAGTAGGTGCAGAGTGCATAGCGGGGAATCGATACGGTAGGACGATATCTTCAGGTCCGATCGCCCGAAAACGTTCGTCCTCTCGTACACGAGACATTCGAGCGGTGACTGCGTCGGGACTTAGTCGTGTTAGGATGGAATGGATGGTTGCTCTGTGCGATGGTCAAATTGTTAGATGAGGTTGAATGGACAGTACGTTCATAAGAGAGAGAGATGTAACGAACCGAGTGATCTCGCCAGGTTCACGGTTGAACTCATAACATACGCCAAGAAGGTAGCCGCATAGTCCTTGAACAAGCGGGTCGACGTCACTTGTTTGGTTTATCGGCTCGACGAGCTATGAATGACATGCGCATCGCACGAACGCAGCCCCACAAATCAGTAAGTAAAAAAGAGAAGCATAAAGCATCATGACATAAACATACCATTCCAACACCTCCATTCTCCAAAAACTCCCGAACAGCCTTCGGGTCCTCCCATAACCACTGCGAAAGCAGCGCAAGGTACACAACGATCAACCGATCCCACTCTCTCGCATCTCTTTCCGTTTCAGCACTCGCAGCATGTCGTCTTGACAAGAACGCTAGAGAAAGATGTTCAGCAAGTAAGGCAATGATCGTCTGTGGTTCTTCATTCTCTGCATCAGGCGAAGCCACTTGCGCACTTGCCGATGGTGGTGGACCGTCAGCTGGGACGAAAAATTGTTGCGCGGCGGGTGCAGTGCTTGCTGAGGGCTTTATCTGTCGCGCGAGTTGTTTACAGCGTGATGAAGAACGAATTAGGGATGCAAAAAGCCATGAAGCGAGGTGAGTCGATAAAGACGCATTCGGGTTCAGAGGTGAACTCGGAGGAGCAGCGAGACATTGTAAGAGTGCTGGTGTAGGTCGAGGTGCGTTCGGATCTACGGGAAATAGTCAATTTAGGCCGAAACACATTGTTGAAGAAACAATCCGAACCCTCATTGGGCAACATGGCTTTCAAGATGATGAGCCGTAACTCTTCTTTCCGGGTATAGTTCTGCACAAAGAACGTCAGGCACATAAATCATCGGTACAACCCAGAGCCTCACCTCAAACACCACAGCCCCAATGGTCCTTAATAAGAGAGCCTCCTTGGCTTTCTGCTTGGTCCCGCTATCACCGGATCCACCATACTCTCCCATGACCACCAACTCAATCAAGGCATCAAGCGCAACAATAGGCTCTAAACGATCCCATTCTTCTCCGTTCGTATCGGGAACAGGTAAATACGGTGTGACGATGTGGGAGATGAATGGGAAGTTGAGATTGGTTGGGAGAAGTTGAAGTGCCTGTATAAAGTTCATTTAGAATCAAGTTACACGAAATGATTGTAGAACGTGTACGTACTTGTGTCTTTAGGATTGTAGGTGCATTTGACGCTAAAGCTAGCTCCACTAGACATCGAATGAGAAGGTTTGTTTCTGCTTCCTGCGTTACTTTTAATTATAAAGAGGCAAGGAAACTCGAATTCAGCGATTGCGCACATTACTGCCTTTTGATCCAACCAGCAGACCGACAATCCCAATAACGAGTCGAACATTCGAAGTCTTCTGAACGTCCCAGAATTGGAGTGCGAATTCCTGCGGAGCAGATTCCTCTGGCGGAAGGTTCGTTGGAAAGAGTAGCTGAGCCGTAAGGAAGCCAGCCAGTCCCGTCTCTCTGAAGAACGTCTGATTGGACGTGTTCAATCGCAACAAGCCATCAACACAAGTAAAGCAGTCCTTGACAATCGTGCCTCCATCAATCCCACCCTCTTTTTGTATTATATTAAAGAGCTTATCAAACGCCCCCTCAAACGCAAATAGTTTCTGGATATCCGGACTTTGCGAAATAAGAGACTGTAAGAGGATCAATCCCTCTAACGACCATAAGCCACTGACAAAATTCGATTCAATCTGCTCACCATTCCGAATGATCTCCCGTCGATCTTCTAACGTAGCAAGCACGTTCGCAGGTGCGTTCTGTGCTTTAAGGAAATACGACTGTACGACCTGTCTGCGATTATGCAGAAGCGTAGAAAGTAACTCCAACGCTGCATATTTGACATAAAAGTGACTATCCGCAAGCAGTAGGAATATCTTCGACACAGATTTATCGGTCTTGAGTACTTCGTCCGTATACTTCAAACCCAAGGCTTTACTCTCAGAAGGACTCGCATCACCAACGTCGCAAAGCGAATTCAGTGTTTCCAACACAGCCTTCCCGATTTCCGAGTCAATCTCAGCATCGTTCTCCAGTACTTCAAGTAAATCCGCAAGAGCATAATGTCCTACTTCGGCTCTACAATCGCGTGATAGACCCTTGAGCGAAAGTACAGCAGCTCGTCGATCAGCTAGTAAAGTGGATGGCGAAAGACGACCGGAAAGTCGTTGGATTGCCTCGAGAGCAGACTGAGGCGCCCCTGCTGGCCCTCTGAGCGCATTGTACGTCTGAGAGAAAAAGTCCATGCCTTTAAGAGGGTAGACGGCAAGGAGCAAGGAGGGCAAGACAGGACAAACGCGCTTTCGACGCAACACTTGACACAACACGATCAGCGTCGATCAGTTGCCTGATTTAGATGTAGACTTCAATCATTGCATTTAATCATCAACAGATGTGCAGCAGGTAAGGAACATAGAATAATAATTCAAGACGATCGTCAAATTTGACGGGCGTGGAGTCTCGAGAGTTGCTGTTAGGTTGCACACCAGTCTCACGGGGAAAAATTAGTACGTCGAACCGATGCCATTTATCCGTCCAATCCATACAAGTACACGAGCGACTGATACTGTTACAGGAAGAGAATACACAGGATAGATAAATACAAATGGAATAAAGAATCAGAGAAGCTTTTGGATCCGGGATGATTGTTCCGGATAATATAGTCATGAATTAATTGAAGGAAGAGACGTAACAGGCGAGAAGAAAACCATTAGTGTAGTCCATGGCCCCTCCCAGACTTCTTCCACTCCTTCAGTAAGATGTGCCGTTCTTCCTGTATAGACAGGCACCGTGCAAATTCCATTACGCGCCACACATCGACAAAGTTGCTCGCGAGTCCAAGACTTATGCGGACAACACCAAGCTCGTGCCCCACACGCGATTCGAAGTCTCGCAAGGTCACACCTTCATATAACTGCTCCATATCACTTTCAATCCCAATTATCGCCGCCGCGCCTCCTGGATTGCAAACGCATCCCGTTCGGAGCGAGATTCGGCGCTGCGCAGCCGCATACTCGATGAAAGATAACGGAAGCATCATGCCATCTGACTGTACATCCCGAAATCAATCAAGTTCAGTTAAAGTAGTCTCTGTGATTAAGCCAAATATAGATGAAGCCTCGCTCACGTCTAGAAAGTGCAAAGAAACCGTCGATCCGAAGTTTGCTTGGTCGCCAATTTCTCTTAAGCGCCGTGTCGGTAAGCGGGATAATATTCTAGCCACGCGACTACCATTGACATCATGCCGAAGCCCCTCCAATCCCGCAACGAGGTAATGGGTGAGAGCTGACAATCGCATTGGGAGGAATGGCATGTACATGGTGAGGAAGCGGAGACCGTGCGTAACTGCAGGCAGACTAAGATAGTTGATCGTACCATCCTGCATTTGGAGTTCGGTCAGAAAGTGCCTGCATTAGGGATGTCTGTGTGAAATCCTACCTGGAAGTGCTCAGTGAGATCACTCGCCATCGTGACAAGTGAGCCAGGCACCTGCACTACATCAACCGTGCCGCCCGCAAACCAAGGCCGATGAAGAGTTCGAAGGAAGTCTTCTTTTACTATCAGTGCACCAACACCGCTGTTCTCATTTATCAGTCAACTAAATTGAAAAAGTGTATAGAGAAAGGGAGCACTAACGTGGGGAAGCCAAACATCTTGTAGAAGCTAACACACATGGCGTCAATGCCGGGGCTTTCCGTCAGATTAATTGCTGATGTTGTGGCTAGTGCTGCCGCGTCTAAGACTGTATGATAGCCAAGTCTTTTTGCATATGCACATATTTCAAGTGGATTTTTGGTGTTTGAAATATTTGAAAGTCCAGTGAGAGCTAGAAGACAAGGTGCTCCCGATGAGGAAGGCCGATTTTCAAGGAGTACATTCTAGAGAAGTCACAAAAGAAGAATGACGGATCAATTCATGCCGGCGCTTATGAATGAATTGCCAAACCTCGGTCTCTGCCAAATCTACACCCCCACGGCTTCCCGATCGAAGGTAAACAACTCGGGCACCCGCTTGTGATGCAAAGCGCCGAATGCCATTGACACTATTATGTGAATCTACCCCCAGTACGAAAGCTCCGTCGTCACAGAATGGATAGGATTCCCCAACGAGCTTCAGAGCCCCTGTGGCATTTTGAGTGAAGATTACCTAAGGAGATTCAGTCATCATCGCTTTCAATACGAAAATTTGGAACCAATCTACTCACAGTATAGCCGGGCGGTGCCTTGAAGAAGTCAAGAACAGCATTTCGTGCCTCGATTGCGAGGTTGGTTGATGTTTGGGAGCTGCAAGACCTCAATCAGTCAGAACGAATAGATCAATCACTATCTGAAACTCTGTTACTGACCTATTGCTGACAGAATGAGTGTTACCCATGATGTTTCGTGAGAGGAAGTCTGCATGTATTTGAACGAGACTTTCGGGGAAAAGACAGCCACCCATGTAATCGACATAGGTTTCATCGGAGCGCGTGAGCCGAGTGTAATCACTTCGACGAAGTGAATCCAGGATCCAGGTCTGACGATACTCAGGGTAGGTATCAACGAAGGAATCGAATGCCTCCTTGAGCTCTGGAGCCTCCTCGAATGAATGATCTTCAGGTCGGACGAGCGAGTGTTGGATGACGGCGGCGCGCTTCTCGCTCAAGTTTGTGTCAGAGATGAACGAGCTGCCTGAGTGAAGTGACTCTTGGGACGGGAATGCAGTGATACATGAGAGCTTATGAGCGAGCTTTGGGTGGTGCGGCGCTGACGGACGATTGGCAGTGGCGCGAGGCTTGGAAGGGTGCTGAATATGCGAGGACGTGTTACCCATTGTGCGACGTGAGAGAGACGGGGGTGGGTTGATGAAGTCCACAAGTCTGGCAGACCTCACTTTTTATCCCGTTGCAGACATGATTGCCGAGCTGTGTTATTGTTTACACCTCAGGGAGGAGCACAGGTCTGTGAGACAAGGCTGCTGGCAAGAAGTGTGCTTACGGGATGATCTAAGATCATATCCGATGTTCAGTGGGACCATCCAGAAATGTGCAATTCAAAACACTTCACCGGATTTGTTCGAGGACCCCGCTGGGACAGAGCTCTGGCGTGATAGCAGGTGGCTAGGCATATCGCCTGCTGAATTGACAGCATTCAGATCCGGGATTACTTGAGAGCCGCTAAAGTCTTGTTGGACACAAATCCGGCGTATTGGGTGATCGGACAATCCATCCACACTAGACCAGGTGGGTTCGCACCTTCAAGTAAGCAGGACCGCGCGCCGAGCTCTTGTCCAGGGAGCGATGGAGATAAGCTGTCAGTGGCATGTCCTCTCGCGATCACAAGCTTTGTGTGTTGTGTCCAGGAGGTCATGACTTGAGCACGGGCGACATCTGTCAATAATCATTGTATATCCTTTTACTCAATTCGCTGGCAGCCAGATCGAGCGTGCTTAAGGTGTCATGTTGTTGTCCTTTCGAGCACAATAGCGATGTTCTGGAGGAGCATACTTCGAGAAGTACCACAGAAGCGAGGTAACAAAGCCAACAACGCCGAGGTAGAGAAAAGATGCACTGCAACATCGTTGACGCGGACAAGTTCGTTCGTTAGTCTCCATCCGTTTTGGGAACATGCACATGCAGCGCCGATCATCACCTGCTTTTTCTGGTCATGATGGTGGAAGTGGAGAGCAGCAATCAAACGATAGGTACTACGGTACACAGAGGGGGTAGGAACCTTGCTCGATGTGTCCATCCTACTCATGGAAAACTCTCACCCATGGCTAGTTATTTCCTTAACACCGACCAGAACGTGCTCAAAACTGGCTCCAGACTTCAAGACAGTTGCTAGAGTGTATTTACGACACGAAAGCCTGGCTACTTGCGCCGCTCTGTAGCACTCCAGCCTTCGTCCAATAGCCTCCAAGCAGATCCGGAAGAGCCACGGTGATAATTGTTCTAATCTATGTAGTTACCATGCGCAATAGGATTACGGGTACAGTTCAGCAAGCGCGTTCGCGGTTCTTTACTCAGTCGATCACCTTCGCAAATTAGAGACAGTGAGATAGCTTCTCAAGTGACATCGAACACAGAGAAAATGATTGCTTGACTTTTCTGAAGTCTTAGCTCTGCAGTCGGTGAGTCATTTGTGATAATAACTTGATATGACCCAAGTCAGCGCGGATCCCATGTCGAATATATCTTTTTGGACCTTTACGTGCATTCTAGGCGGTTTTCCAACGTTGTCGCCCAACCTATTCCTGATGAACTCGGCATAATAATGTGCATCGTTCTTTACAGGTACTAGTTCACATGTACACTCCAACCCCAACATCGTTCTCAAACTCTTTTAGATTCTACAGCTAGTGGAGATGGCATGGATCCATTTATCTCGGAATTCCGAACTTCTCGGTGGAATATATTATTGTCTCAGCGTTTGTGCTCTAACTATTATGCTGAATCAGAACATACTCAGAAGCATAACAAGGCCTTCTATGCCAAATTCTGTCGATCCTCGAAGACTCAAAACAAATATTCACGAGCTTAAGCTGAGCCAGAAGGTTTAAGACCCGAGCAACGGCGTTAAGCGAGAGTGCAGCTTTACCAAACTCATTGAAAACAGAGTCTTTCATTGACATAGAATCTTCAGAAATCCCGATCAATATTAACATGGTCTGTCGCTTAAGCTGCCTTCTTACCCTTTTAGTCATGGGCTATCACCAAAATAAAATGCGGTACAAATTACACAAACCTCGGGAAAAGATCGTCGCCGAAATGATGCTCTCTTTAGTGATGGATTGAATTAAAATAGCGGAGCCCTTTCCAGCCAAACGCAATTTAGCATCGCCATAATAATATGTCTCAAGGAACCCGAAGATCCCCACCTAGTTCATATGAAATATCGTGTGAGACTGGAAGTTTGCCCACAACATCCCACCTGGGTTCACTCAACCAACGAATCGAGAATGCATCAGAAGCTCAACAGCAATAAAATCAGTCAACATCAATCTCTTCAAAGCGTTCTATTGATATGCGACATCGACGTTTATTGACGTGTTTTTGTGTACAGGTTGTAGCCACGACGGGAGAAGAGTGCCAAATTTGACTTACTCCGCGGTTCCCAACACTTCATGGAGATCGAAGCAGAGCTTGAGCCACGATACTTATTCGCACAAAAGATGCGAAGTCAGACCGGCAATATCTAGCCGGTTCTCAATAGGGCCCACAAAGCTGATGTAGGTGCCATACAGTCACCAAGCTCTTGGTTCTACTACTTTGAAAAAAAATGGTACAGCACGATAGCGAGAAACGCTGAGACAGGACTGCTCTGTCGAACGTCGAGTAGATCTCCTATTCGTTACGTTCAACACCGTGGAGCTTAGTCTTGCAGTCCTATCCAAGCCGGTGGTCGGGGTTCTTGGATGTGGCATGCGATCGAAGTTAGACGCTCGTATTGTATGACACGGCCCGTCGTCTTGCTAAATTCCGGAAGCTTGTGTTCCTTCAGACAATAGCTTGACGCGAAGAAGCTAGGCCTTACCAAAAGATAGTAAATTTAAAAACGAACCGTTCAAGCTTATTGGCTGAGACTTGCATGATTGAATTTCTAACGTTTTATGGGGAAATTGTTGTTATCATGTGAGCTCCGAGAAACGGCAGTGTAAGTATTCTGGAGCTCACTCCGCCAATTTCATTCCGGATGTCCGAGCGGAGTCCTGCCGGCGGTTTGGGGAGGATAGAGTAATCTCGAGGCCAAAGTGAGATAGCAGCGCCAGCAAAATGCGATCAATAATCCACGGTACGTCCCTTCTACGTAATCTGACGTATGGCTCACCCAATGAACAGTGTAAATCGGCGCACTCTGTAAACTCCTGCTGACAGAAAGATGTGGAAAATGCATCTCGTCAACACTTCATCGACAATCATGTGGATCTACAACGTCGAAGTCATCAGCACGCTACTGCAGAGCGTACCTTGCATACGACTTTTACCTCGGTCGTGTCGCGAAAGCTGTAAGCTCACCTGCTGGCTGTTCATGTCACTAAAGCGCTGGCCAATCCGAAATGACCGACCATGCATCTCAATGCCGACATTCTCAGTGAGCAATACCGATCGTCTGGTCAATTTCGTCCGCAAAGCCCTGAGCGAATCAGATAGTGCATTGTCTCCTGCCAGAAGAATCTTGTCTGTGGAGATAGCAATGCCCCTAAGACCGACCGCAAGCAAGGTTCCGCACGCGCCGGGGGGTGTTATCATTCAAATTCTATGAGATAGATGCGTTTGTACCAGAAAAACAAGGATCCGATTGTTCGATCGTTGCCAAAGGCATTCAGTCATCGGTCCAGCGGAACGGCGGAATGACGCTAAGGTATTTGAGGTCGATATCTGTTATATGCGAGCTGAAACATTGTTGAACGAGGAAATTTCCGAGATATTAATGTTGAGTACGTATGCGGCATGGTAGAACGCCGATAAACATGCTATATAAAATACCGTGATCGAATGTAGGCGATAAAGAGCAGTTGTATTACTGATAAAGAGACGTCAGTGACGCGCAGTGCAAACCAAAATGATAAGGACTCTACCTTAATAAATCTAGACATGAATTTCTTATGGAACTCGGTCCGCAAGAGATCATTAACAAATTGCCCAGAAGGCTTGTCAACGTTTGTCGCTTGATTTTTAAAGATCAAGTCTGTGAAGATATTAGACAAGGCACAGAGCCGACACGGGAGGACACGCACCATCATCCCATCGCCGCTTCACTGCAAAGGTGCCAGGTGCTGTCGTGCTGACGCCTGTATTTTGTCCGAGGGCGGCGGCTAGATTGAGTAGCGGATTCGCTGTTGCAATTTCCTCCTCCCGCGCCATCTGTGTTTTGGCATTTTGCTCGCGTTCTAGTCTTTCCTTTTCCTCCGCGCGCTCACGTTTGATCCTTTCAAGCTCGCGTAGAAGCTCTGCAGTTTCGTCCTCTTCCTCGGATTCGTCATCATCACTGTATGGCGCCGTCAAGCTGCGAAAGACAGGAGATAGGAAGTGACTTACTCCTCATCTTCATCTGATCCATTCTCTTTTCTTTCTCCCTCTCCCTTAGCCTCACGTTTCTCATCCGAGCTTTCATCATCGTCATCTTTGTCAAGCTCAAGTGCCTCCTGTAATAATTTTCGTCGTTTATTTGTTTCACTATCTCCCACTGAAGCTACTGCAGGTGGAGCCGGTTCGTCCTCAACCATAGGTTTCCCTTCTGCCTTCCTCTTCTTCTCACGAGCAGCGCGCTCTGCTTCCAGTAGTTCTGCACGTAGATCATGTTTAACTACGTCTGACGTTGCTGTCTGTCCAGGTTGTCTAGATCATCATTAGACAACCAGGCACTGACTGGACAGTCGAAAAAGACGCACCGAAATTTCAACTTAGTGTGGGATGCGATATCGCGCGCTGAGATTTGACGCGATCCACCTTTGACATCCTTCGCCTGAGCTGGGTCCCATGTTGGCCTGTGGGCTGTAGACATTGTGGAGGCTGGAGATGAAAGGTAGAGATGGAATTCAACAAGTGTGACTGCAGAATCAGTAATGTCACGTGTGACAATTCTAGTACAGGTATGTAGCAAAAGTCTTCGTCATTCCTTAAAAGGTAGATGTATTTGTAAGTGATTTGCATGCCATACATAGAAATTAGATGTAGATCAATGCTTTGATCGACACATTGTGAAGTACAAAAAAATACAGAATTTTGTATTAATTTCACAAAATGGCTTGTATTTTCATGTTTTTTTGTGTGTATAATGTGTTCATGTATGCTAGAAATGTAAGACAAAGGTTTGATGTGTCTCTTACAGCCTTATAAGTCAACGCAAATCACTTACAGATACACTTACCTTTTGAGGAATGACGAATACTACATACCTGTACTAGTACAGCTAACGATATCGCTCTAGTTTTTTTGTTGAACAAACCCTTCACGGAAAGCAAACTGGGTTCTGTTACCTGTCGGTCAGTCCGAAGCTTCTACGCTCAGAACTTGTCTTCAAATTTCGAGCGCGGGTTATACCGAGCTTCTGTTTCTCTGTCGCTGACTGCATCAAATGATAACGGTTCCACCAACACCAGCTGTGCACAAATGACTTCTAAGGGCAGACCAGGTCTAAAGAAAATACCAGCATATTGGTATCCGTATAGAACGAATGCCAAGGCCCGTTGGTTTGACAGGGAGATCTTGGAAGTCATCTCTACTGAGTTTCGAGACAGGAGTGTTGAATACTATGTGCGTTTGCTTATTACTGGTCCGGTCTTATTCTTGCTTGACGATCCGTCTATTCGTGATCCCAGCGTTATGCCTTGCAATCTGGTGTAACTACGATCAATGGCGAAATTGCACGCCCTGGTACCCTTGTTCGCAATGGGGACACGCTTGAGTACGTGGACGTGGCATAACACGACATGCTTGTATGCACTGCTCCAAGGTCTTAGTCTCACAGAATACTAGAAATATTGTGCATAGACACGAACCACCCGTAACGTCCACACCAGTCGAGATTCTTCACCATGACATTGAGCGGGAATTCATTGTCATAAACAAGCCCGGCAGCATTGTACGTTTCTTTTCCTTCTCTGTTTGTCGATACGTGCTTCTAACCGCTTCTACAATAGCCCGTTCATGCCGCAGGTCGGTACTTCAAGAACTCTCTCGTGGAAATTCTCAAAGATGACTTCGGGTTCTCAAATGTCTATAGTCAGTCAACCCGCCCTTCTCTGAGTTCCAAAAACTTGCTGATGCTTATCTATAGCGGTAAATCGTCTTGATCGATTGACGTCGGGACTGATGATCATCGCATTGTCATCGGAACGTGCCCGTTCACTCACATCGGAGTTCACCTCCGGGACAATCCAGAAGGAATACGTCGCGCGAGTTCGCGGAGAGTTTCCCGCGTAAGCATCTCGTCAACTGTCAGTTGTCTTTGACTCAGCTCTAACTTTAGACAATATACAGAGAGGAGATTACTTGCGAAGAGCCGCTTTTGACGGTCGACCGGCAGATGGGTCTGAACATCGTGCATCCGGAGGGAAAGGTAGGTGCTTCTTATCATACTGTAGTCCCGCGATGTAACTTTCGTCGGGTAGGAGGCGAAGACAATGTTTAAACGCATGCATTACGACAAGATCACCGATACTAGTGTAGTTCATTGTACGTGTTGACTCATGTTCCACTTTCTCACCTCTTATGATGCATGTGGACATTCTGTACCACATACTTAGGTCGTCCGATTACTGGACGATGTACGTCGAAATGCTCCTCAATGTCTTGTCACCAAAACCTAACATCATGAAGCACACCAGATTCGTGTACACCTGCAATTCTTAGGACATCCCATTGCAAACGACGCTGTTTACGGGGATGCAAGGGTTTGGGTAGTTTTCTTTCCTTATGCTCTCTGTTTTTACTGAACATATCGTTGGCATTTTCCTGTTCGTCGGATCGGACATTTCGGATCCCTTGCGAAGCAGGGCGAAAACGTCGCCAAAGGAGGCATCGATATCACTCCTAGCGAAGAGCGCCGAGCACCCCAACCTCCACCTGGTCTGGAGGATTCGACTGCAGAAGGGCTAGGGCGCAGGCCAGATAGCGAATTTGTTCCTCTGACAGATCACGAATCGATCAGTACGGGAGCTGGATCCAGACCTGCACATGAGGAGCAGAAAAAATCTGAACCATCATCGTCAGGACCAAACCATATCCCCGGCTCTCTGAAACGTACGAAAAAAAGGAATGATAGGCGATTCAACCCTGCGTGGCGCACGAAAGAAGAGTCTGCTGCATTGACCGCAAAGCACACTGGAGAAGCACCGGCACCAGGTGAACTACCCCGAGAAACTGGGCACGATATCGGGCTCGGCTCTCCCGTACCTTTGTCAAAAGAGGCTGTTGAAATAATAACTCGACTGAGGAACCAGAAGGTTGGCTTCTTCATCTTTTTCTTGAAAGTGAGCGTCTGTTTTACAAGCCTTCTACGTAGGATGAAGATGAAGATTGGGGCCGGTGGCGGGATGTTGTTTTCCGTGCGAAAGGTGCCCTAACGCCACAAGTTGTGCAACTCGCTTACGCACAACAGAATACTCCGCCGAGAAAATCTAGAAAGAAATTGGAAAGGCAGTCGACGAAGAAGGAACCTAAGAGCAGACGTGATGAAGAGATCAATGCTACTGAATCAGCATCTGCTCCTTCACCTACCACGATCACTCAACTAATTCCTACTCAAGACCAGACAGACCCAGTCCCCGAGTCATCTGAGACGATCGAATTGTCCATTTCCACGCCGATTCAAGCACCTACGAATCTAGCCGGGCCTGAGAATTCATCTGACGCGCTCTATTGTCCGGAATGCTACCTACCTCTATGTCCGGACCCGAAACCGGAGAAACTATACATCTTCTTACACGCACTGCGTTACACAAGTGCCAGTCTTGGTTCATTTGAGACCCGTCTTCCTGAATGGGCTGCAGAGGGTTATGTCTGGGAGTGAGATCCGAATGGTGGTAGAGTAAATAGATCTTGTAAGTCTTGTACTTTTTATATGCTATATCCTCGGCGCTGATTACGGAAATAAATGGTTGTATACAAGGTATTTTGCCTTGTTGTAATAATGAACTAAGCCGGCCCTAGTGCGTACTTTCTAGCACGTGATGAATACTACGTAAGCGAGTCGTTGACGGAAGCAAATTACCTTCCGCTTCCGTGCACCTCATGTCTTTACCGACTTAGCAAGACAAACGTCTGTCTCCTGTCCATCAAACATTTCTGTCATCGTCTTATGGTATTGACAAATTCATCGACTTCCTTCATGTCCTCGTTGCAAACCTCCACTCGATTTCATGCTTGCGATTCGCCAAATCGATCACTGAGTTCTTTAATATGCGATGCATCTCGAACGCTTCTGAAAACTCTACTGAGGAAATAGGTATTAAAGTTGCAACAAGCTCAGCGTTTTAGCTTTTACCTTGTGCACCGCTTTCCTGCTTTATAACAAATTCAACTTATCTGCGGTTCTCTGCCGCTTTGCAACGAGGACTCAGAAGGATCAAGTGGATTGTTAAGTGGCGTCGCCCCCATCTTAGCGCGCACATTCTCGTCCTCCATTCAGCTCGTGCATACATCCCACTCAATACTCATGAATGGTGCGCATGTCAACTTGAACGTAACCGTGCTATTTGACAGTCTTCGTTGTCATTCTCCTTCGCGCTAGTGTCGGAGAGATCAAACTATGACCGGCCTACAGATACTGTATGCAGAAGATGGGAGATCTAGAACCATAAAACAGAGCTGCGAGGGTACATATAAGTAGAAATGGAAGGAAACGTGTTAGTTTTTCCTCTGTCCAAGACCTCTTTCTGACAATGCAAGACAGTATCGCAAGGCCACATGCGGCTTCATATATCACGATTTCCACCCTGCTCACAGACTCATGTTCACTATACTGTGGCTGGCGCGTGCTCGGGCTTGTCGCGCGCGCTGACTTGGTCGACTAATGGAGAAGATTGCACGACCCTTAATTGCAACCGTACCAATTGAAACACGTCGCTCATTCCAACATGGAGTCGCGCGCTGGACATGTCAAATGCGTGGCCGAGGAAAGCTGCGACCCTGCGTCATATCTAATTACGAATATTAGACTCGCTTGCGAAAGAATAAAAGGCGAGAAGAATCGCTCAACGAACTCGGCGAATCCTCTCGAACCACCCTTCTGCCTCTTCTTACCCTTCAACCCCGAGCTTCGTCGAATAGCATGAGGCTTCTAGCCGTCATCACCATATTTCACCTTGTCCTCTGCTCAACTGCAGCACCTTTATACAACGTAAGCGCGCATCATAGGCTTAGTCGCGCTTCTCTGACTTCGGCTGTGCAGCACGATATATCATCTCTGGAGTATCACAAACGAGACACAGAACCTTTATCGAGCGCGTCCAAGCGTGATGCAGAACCACTATCGGACACATTTCGACGAGACGCTGAACCGCTCTCGGATACGTTTAAACGTGACGCGGAACCACTTTCCGACACGTTCAAACGCGACGTCGAGTCATTATCAATCACTTTTCGACGCTCTGCCCAACCTGATGAAGATGTGATCTACCACAATTTGGATACCATCTCGAATGCGTCATAGCTTTAGGTTGGTTCGTGATCGCTTCGCTCCTTGATTTCATCTGAAGTCTGACTCTTATCTTCAAGGCTGTATATCAGGATGCGCCGGAGTATTATGTTACCATTGATCACCTTTTTTCGTACTCTCCGTCTTTGACAAAACTAGGCCGTGGCCCATTTTCTTACTGGCTTCACGTTTCTGGATTGTAATATAGTTTTGGTCATTAGACAAATCCCTGGAACTCCCCATTTTGTTCACTGCATATTGACGAAATAATGAGATACTTAACGTATTCACAAAAGATTAAATGCTGACGTACAAGGTCATACATGACACTAGAATAATCCCGACATTATACAAATATTGCAGCCTTATTTATTACTCGACTAGAAGACGCCTGCGTCAAAGAAAATAAAGTGTACATTGCGCAATTTCGTCTCCAAGGTTAAATGGATGAACCGTAAGTACCAAGTCATTACAAACAGAACCCAAAGAAACGTAGCATTTACACAAATCTACTGACACATAAAAGTACATGTCTTCGTAAAACAACACTGAAAAAAAAAGACGTAAGCCTATGATCAAGCACGATCTAGATTATCTATAATTTCATGACTTGCAAAGATTAATTTGGGAAAGATGACGAGGAGGGATGAGAAGCTTGATTCTCCGACCCGGCTAAACCTGCTTGATACAATGATCCATAGTATTCAGGGCTGCACACAAATGGTCAGTAGATCAATTACAACATTAATCCGAGACTAAACTTACTACTCTGGATACTGAGCTATTAAATCAATCATTTTCTGAAGTTGTTCTTCTGTCGGGAGGAACGTCGTAGTTTCTGGCTGGGAATTCCATTCTTATAGGTGTCTTGAACGTGTCCTGCCGTAAAGTTACGTACCATAAACGCGCTCCAACCTGAAGGGCCTGCCTCTGCCATAGGGGACATATCCGAATCACCAAAACCATTCCCTGGTGGCTGCCCGGTATCGTTCTGACAAGTCTGCGGCTAAGCCAAAAGAGTCAGGAGTTTCTTTAACCATGCAGCATGACATAACTACCTCATAATTCCCGGGTTCATTGTATATATACGATTGCTTCAGGAAGTGTATTAGCTTTTGGGCGTATTGTAGATAATGAGATAACATACTCCTCCAACGTATCTAGTACTGGCTATGATATGTGAATTTGGGGGTACATTTTGCTGCGTGCATCAGGAAAAGCTCAGATAAGTCTCATTGTAAAATGAAGCAATACTTACCCCAGAATTAAACGTACTACCGTCTTCCATTATACCAGGTTGCTCCTCAGAAAAAACCTGATGCCTTGCAGAAACCTTCCACAAACCGTGTGTATGAGATTGAGAAGCTTTAATAGTATACAGTCCATATACTTTACTGAGAACAGTACAATTACTCTGACCAGGGTCTGTGTTTATTTGATCCTGCTATAGACTTTCTTAGTATCTCACTCAATAAAGTAATGAATGCACTTGCCGGGTTCATATAATCATGCACTGTAAAATTCTCTGAGTGCTCTGACGCTATCTCAGAGCCATTTCCCAAACCAGTTATGTTGAGATTGTCCTGTTGAGCATGAATTGAGCTGCTTTCAGGAGGGCTCATAGTTGGATCAGCCTGACAAAACCAAGTAATGTGTGAGTCAGATTACTATCACAATACAGAGTGTATACTCTACGTACCAAATTCTCTTGATTGTTGATTGGAGATGTATAACAAGGCCTGTCCAGAAATATTGGTAGCTGGCCCTGTACTGCGTCAACAGCCTGATTGATGGTATTAGGCAATGTTAGCATATTGTGATAACAATGCTGACAGGCCCAAAGACGTACTGAATCAGCTACTGCAGGAATAGACGAAGAAATTTCACTAGATGTGGAAGTCTGCTTTCTGGTCCTAGTCGTCTTTCTGGTCCTAGTCGTGGTATATTAAAGTCAACAGAAATGCAGCCTAATATGATGTTGTTGTGTCAAACCTCTGTCCCAGCTCATAGACAAATGGATCCTATGGTTGAAATCAATCTGTGAAGGAGAGCTAATAGGTGTAAGCACATACTTGACTCCCAGAAGGCAGCCACGTCCTTTCCTCCACAAGTATACACTTGTCCTGAATCTTGCGCTGGATGCATCGGGGACATGGTGTGCCTCCTTTACACTATCAGGAAGAGATGAGTACTTTCAGCATTCGATATAAAGGTATTGGCATGACAATCTACCTTGTGCCGTACTTTCCTGCAAGGCCGACACGGTCTTCTATTTTTTTCCTTTGCAGAAACGGATCGTGCGCTAGGGCGCCCCGTCGTGGAATCAGTTGCTGATGTTGCGTCTGCGCTAGATGGATGAGGCGCCATGTCCGTGTACACAGCAGTGAGAAGAACAGCGGTTGTCAGGATGAGAGGAGTGCTTAAATTGAGAAAAGTTACATAAAAAGTGGAAAGAAATTTATAGGGCATGCTCCAGAACGGCACGAGAACCTGGTAAGGCGACTCCCTCAAGAATTACAGCAGGCAATGGCCCAATTCCGGGTGGAGAACGAGAAAGGGCAGTCGTAGGCGAACATTAACCTCATGTTGAACGGCGAATGAAGCCGACAAGAGTTTGGGAACGCTTGATGAACCCAGGTCGATAGTGCAGCCGGATTCCTTGCATGTCTCTGTGCTTGTCTTGGGTAGGGTCAAAATGAAGCTCATGAAGGCGACTTCCAGGTAATTTCGCCTCAAACAAGGTATAAACAGAGTGTATTGCAAATATGCAGGGGCGGCGCCGTGGACGAGTAGCAGGAGCATTAGGACGAAGAAGAGAGACAGATCTGTGGCATGAGTCTCATTCAGCAGCGAGGATTACGGAAGCCTTGATGGCGCTTCAAGAATGATGGACACAAGTCAATCGCCCAAGTATTGTCTTGTTCTTCAACTTTGATCTACGCTGTAACCCAGCACAACTCTGCTGATTTATGTGTTCACAGTGTTCAGCAACATTATCCTGAGCTTAGATTTGGTAACGACGGACGGGCACCGGCCCAGGGCTCGAATTTTTGCAACGATTTACTGGCTTGGACGCCTCTTCAGCCTGGCATATGTAGGTGGTTGCACTCTGCACATTTGAGCAGCTACATAGGTCCATTCTTGACTGGATTGATCCAACGGTCTCGATCGTGCGTTCAGAGGAATGTACTGATTGTACTTTGTCAAGAGAAACTGTCTGAAATGATATGGGCACGTCTGGTCAGTAACCCGAGCATCTATTGTAGCAATATCAGACTAAAATAAAATGTTGAACTTACATTTTCGCAAAGACATACTACTCTTGAGAATTGGGTATTCAATATCCGGGCTCAGAAGTGAAAGCCAGGAACAGTATCCTAGACATGGCCAGCTTCTCCTAGTCCCTATTACACGAGCGTCGACAAGGTATATATAGCTACCTTACATGGCAACCTCACATGGAAAGGGCGTCATCGGAAGTTCATCTCAGATTAAGACAATAATGGTATCTGGTGAGTTTGACGGTTAGATATACTGTTCTCCAGACAGTTAAGCCATATTTCGGGTGATAAATTCCTCGTCAGGACGACGGAACGGTCTCAACAAGACAAACACAAATTGATCGACAGTGGCCCAGGAACGTCTCAGAATCAGAATAACCTGGTGGCTGTTCATCGGACAGTGCAACGGACTGCAGTCGTCTTTGTCCAGAGTGTCCTTGCCTTGCAATGTTCAGCGGTGTGAAAGAGTGAATAGAGGATGAACGGAAAAATCGAAAACCAACAGCTTTGAAAGGATTTTCTCGCTTGAGATCGTTTCTCGATTCGATTAACGGTACGAGAAGATCACTTGTGTTGATGCCATGATGAATCATGATTCATTTGACTGATATTAATACGATTGGGACAAGTTCGCTATTACCCTCTCTGTGCTGACTGTTTGTACTTTTTTATAAAAGGACAAATCTCATCTGCGAAAAAGTAAAGCCTTTGCGACTAAGAAACTCGTATGCGTATGAACAGAAAGAGACGGAACATGATTGTAGATCAGGAGCAACAGCGGCGCTCGATTGTCTCACCCGCGCGACGTAATCTCAACATGTCGAGAAGCCGAGGCCGATTTGTGCAAGGAAATGTGGTTCTCTTTTTCCCTCCATCCGACGATCTCTCAGCCGCCCAATTGACATATCGGACAAGCCAACATCCAGCCATCCTTTGAGAGCTTCACGATTTCAAAGACCCCAGCATGCAGGAATGACGGACGACGTCACCCACTGTAAAAAAGGTCCATGAGCACATCAGCTCTGGCATCGACATTCCATCAATACTGACCATATGTCTATCAAGCAGACAACATCCCTCCTCCCCAGATACTATCTGCTACATTCCTGATAGACGAGGAATGAGCAATGCGGTACTCACAGTGGTTCAGAAGGTTGCTGTTTTTCCATCCCGCCGATTACTCCAGCATTAAATGTCGTTGATCCTCGACAGCATGCAAATCCCCTCCCTGAGCTGCTTATCCACCATGCACTGTCCCTAAAGCATCCCAAGTTTATTCGGTCCGTCGTGGTGGTGAAATTTGGCTGGTTTTTAGGTATAAATTGTGGTCACGGTGCGCAAATTTTCTTGTACTACAAGGACGTACATCCAAATAACGATATTACATGTTATACCAGCTCGTACCGATATTTTGCACATTTATACAATCTCCGTATTGCTACGGGCGCCTTCCTTTGTATCGGCGCTTACTGATATGCCGTCCATCAATGTCGGCACACCAATTGTCTAAGCCGGCGATTCACCCCGCGACCTTCGCCCCGATGCTGGCGACATATTCTCTCCTTTCTTAGACGTCAAGCGCATAAAAGCGCAAAACTATAGAAAGGAAGTTAACGAAAGAGGAACTTGCTTAATTTGTATCGAAATCAAAAATCGCTGTGTCCACCCGACAAAACAATGACCAAGTCGATATATACCCGTGTGCTCGAATGGCGCCGCCCATCCTCCACATACATGGGTTAGCATGACTGTCATGAAAGGAGGTTCCAAGAGCGTATTGCCGCGTCGCAGACGGAAAGCGGATCCAATGACCCAACGTTCCATCGCCGCTCGATCCAGGAATAGAGCTCCATGTGCAGGATGTAAGCGCAGTAGGCAGAAGGTGGGTAGACAATAATACTCGGTTCTCCGTAAAAGTGTCCTAGCTCACCACGTCGTTAGTGCTCCGGTGGACCTCCCGAAGTCTGTTCTCAATGTGCAATAAAACATATTGCTTGCGAGCCAGGAAAGCCGCTGGTCGCACGGCCCACTGTTATCGTATGAATTCCCGAGTCTCACTTCCCTACAGACATCTGAGAACACTTCCACTGGACACAGACGGCTAGCTTTATTTTCGAAGATGGGAAAAGGTAAGACATCGTTTACTGGTCGTTGGCGAATTGTTTACTCTGTCACGATACAGCTCCACGCGTACTCGCCACCGGAGCAACACCATTCAATCTGTGGCCTCTACTGTTATCAGTCCTTTAGATGAAGCGACTGTATGTATTTTATTTCTACTATCGTAACTTTGTAAGTAATGTCAAGTTGGGCACATTACAGACAGTTTTATCTCCGACGTCTCCTGCGGGTCCACTCCCGTCCAATTCTATGTTCCACGACTGCGGATCATCAACTACTCAAGTAAAGTGAAGATACATTCACTATCATATCTAGCTGACCATTTATTCCACATAGTTGTCTGCGAGTTTGAGCTTAATAAATTTACGTGAAGGCGAGGCAGCCTCGAGCTCCGACAATTCTATTGCTGCAGCAGGGAGCTCTAAATATCGGAGCCAACAATCTTCCCTGGACGATCAAGCACCTGTTACCAGGAATATGGCGCGTACGCACACTGTACGTTAATCGCTTCCTCATATCCAGTCCAAAGCTCATCATAGATGATAGGGGCCATCTGTGTCCACATTGATCCTGACAACTGAAGTTCACCAGAGTGGCCAGTATGATGAACCCACTGAGTATTCACACATGCAGCAGCCTACCCCTCGAGGAACGTACAATCAACCTGTCCCAGGATCCTTGGCTGCTGTTAACACAACCATGGCTAATGGCTTGGATATTGGATCCGTGAGCTTCATGCTATTCATTATTTTACAGTTGTAACACTGGGTTAAAGGCATTATATGGGAGTAACGTTCTGCCCGACAATTTTAGTCCAGAGTCCTTCGAGTTTGACGTTGCAAACTTATCCTATCGAGACACAAGTATGTGACCAACCATTGCATTATTTATTTTGTAGTCTTTCACTGACATCTGAACTCCTTAGGTTCCTTTCTCGATCTCATGAGAGATGGTTTTGCTGAACAAGGCTTCGATTTTTCACTGTAAGTTTATCTTCCTGCTTGTCTTGTTGAGCACATCTGAATTCCTGTAAGATTTGAAGGCTTATAGATTATGCACCGAGGAGATCTATGCTAAAAAGATCCAATGTAGCCTGTATCTGTTATCCAATCGGTTTGTTTACAGAAAGTGTTACTATATTCAATGTATTTGTATGAGGCATCCACAGAACAGGATTGATTAGTACGACCCTAATGAAGGTTGGAAAATGTGAGGTGTGTTACAAATGCCATTAATGAGGAAATTCTGTCGTTGAAAAAAAAATTGGAACAGCAGCCTACAGATAAGAAATATTGTATTCTGAGGTTCTTTGTTCATACACTACAGTACATGCCCGCTCTTTAGACCTGACGGATTAACAAAATAAGAACTGACTAGCTATACATAAATTTATGCGAGAATTGACTCTTAGCAGAGCGCAATATTTATTATAAAGTGTCTATAGAGAAAATGGAAACTACTATTAGCTTTTTCCGATTGTAACTTCCATTGCCAAGGAGATGTTACCGTTTTACAACAGCACTACAGCTTGCTGGATATAAGAGCAGTGACCATCCACTGTCAGTTTTACTGTCCGTCATGTCGCGTTGCCCTGCCCAAGCCGTTCACAGCTAGGTGGGACATTGTCGCCTTTTCGCCATCCTTTATATGTCCAAGACGTTTGAGTCGGGCGTCTAGAGCATTCGCGAGGTTTCTCGAAATAGCGGTATAGTGTTGATGGTGGCCTTCAGGACAAAGAGCTAGTGCAGCGCGTAGCCGTTCTATTGATTCTTCAATGTCTGACGGATTGCCACGGTGCGTATACCGAAGGTAAAGCTTATAACCAAGGGTATTTAGCAGCTGACTTCGATTGTTGTGACTTTCAGGACGGAGAGATAGAGCTTCCCGCTCAAGCATGATTGCTTCATCGATATCCTCATCTCGCTTTCCTACTTTGAATCGCTCCGAAAGTCCGAACGCCAAGTTTGTCAAAGCAGTGTCTCGCCGAGGGTGACCTCGCGGACGAAGAGCAAGGCAGGCACGATTTATCGAGATTGCTTCTTCTATCTCTCGAGTTCTCCCAGTATTCATATAGAGCTCTTCGAACCAATACCCTGCTTCTCCTAATAAGTAGTCACGGTCTGGATGATCCTCAGTACAAAGAGACAAGGCCATGCGATAGTGTGTGGCTATCTGCTGAATGTCTTTCGTCTCTCCATTTCTCTTGAATCGAGCACAAAAACAAAGCGCAATGTCTTCCAGAAGAGCAATGCGATCGGTGCTTCCTATAGGGAAGAGTCCTAATGCCTCACGGTAGAGTCGTATGGATTCCCAAGAGTCTTCTATCCGACCAGCCTCCCGGTAGCGATCGCGTAAGGCCTCCGCAAGTCTTCTTAGTGACTCGGGACGAAAGGGATCATTAGGAGGAAATTGAGCTAGTTGGTTGCAACAGTCATCAACAGATTCTTCCAGGTCCCTTAACCGCTCCTCTTGCTTGTCTTCTGTATTCACGGTTACTGTCTGAATGCTGTTGTCCTTGGACTACATTGCAAGAGAATTGGGAAGGTGTTAGTCGAAGTGTATCCTTTCAACAAATTTGTGAATCTACGCTTACATCGACTGGATTATATGCTATGGATGCAGGAACTGCAGCTTCGTTCTGTTCTGTTATTGTCCCCGAATTTGCCGTAGGCTAGTCATAGTAAATATTTGTTCCAATCAATCAAAGGCAGCATGCAAGTGTTGATATGCTCACTTCGCCCATTTCGTCGATTGTGGCTCCGGTTGAATCAATAGCACCCAATAACGAAATGATTTTGCTCGAGAGAGGCCGAGAATCGGGGTCTACTGACCAACAAGTTTCACATAACTGCCAGGCTCTGCGATATTTCCGAGGCCAAACTGAGTCCTCTGGCATCTCCGGACGTTCGCCTTTTACGATAGCGAAAACGACTTGAAGATTGGTCTTAAGCTTGTGGTACTATGGCCTACGTTTCGCTAGTAATTCCTTGAAGCCACCAAGTACAGACTTTGTCAGGGCAACTGATAGACATAGCAAAGCAAGATACCAACAGACACCGTCATGGCAAACGCCCATATATCGGATTCCTTCGTGTGCACTGCAGAGTGATTGGTAGGAGGGCTGAAGAGTTCTGGAGCCATCCACCGGGCCGATCCTCTTCCAGTCCCTGAGGAACTCTGTATATTATAGCCACTCAGCGAACCAGAGAGGGCAATTACGTGTGAGATTCCAAAATCGCATACAAGGGGTGTCCCTTGTTGAGAAATGAGGACATTGTCCTAATACGCAATGTATGAGCAGAAACATCCTGTTTCGGATGAAAACGACACAGACGGATTTTAAGTCCGAATGAACAATATTTCTACCATGGAGGTAACTGACACCCTCAGCAATACTGAGGATGTTGGAATGGGGAGTTTTGGAATGGTACATAGGTATATGCACATATATGTGTGCCCTTATATACTAGATACATTGTGCTATACTAGTAAATGAGACATAAAACACAGTGTGTTGAATACTCCCCTTCAAGCCCTAATATTCTGTTGTTAATGTCAAAGACCTATAAGTTCTATTAGGTGCTTGATTTGAGGGATGTAGAGTGCTTTTGCAAGGATGTCTGCAAGTTGGTTCTGAGTTTGAACATAATAGGTGAATTCAATTAATTGGCAGGAGCACTTGCAGGACAGCAGGAAGATTTTGGGGTGTCTTGGCAAAGTAGCATGTACCTTAATAGATACCAAATGGAGATGAGATCTGTGCAACTGTCTGCAAGTGTGTGCAAGTGCTCAAACCTACTTGTTTGCACTTGCAGATGCACAGAGTTTGAAAAAAAAATAAACATTTGATTACATACTGTAATGTAAATCCTTAAGAAGTATGAAACACATGGGGCATTTCACAATTCCTTACCTTAAAAAATAACTTACATAATGATAAACATTATTTGAAATTTATTTTCCCATTTTTGAC